TCCTATCACTAGAACAGATCCAATATTATAAAATGTGAGACTATGTTCATGGCAACTACAAATCAAATAAGTACTACCACCACCGCCACCAAAACCACCTACACCACCAGTGAAGATGATGACAACTACAGCAGCAACATTCACTTTCTCTTCAAAAATTATTTTTCCATACATAACAACCCTCATCAGTTTGTAGTACAATCAACTGTACATTACAATAACTTCAAGATTAAATCAGAGTATTATGAAATAATACAATTCCAGATAGAAAACAGATTAGAAAAGATGTTTTTACTCTTTGATCTCTGAAGCTCCCTGGAAAATGCGTGTATTCTACCACAGAAAGAGAATGGATGAATAAAACAGGAATGATGACAGTTATGATGATCATTTTTTTCAGAAAGACGGGTGTTAATATTCAGATATGAAAAAGGGGAGGGGGCAGTGAGACTTTTCTCAAAATAAAAATTTTAAATTAATAAGTTACATTAGGAAGTTTATATTACTAACTGATGTCTCTTTTTAGTAACATAGATTTAATTTTTTCTTTCTGTGTTTTATGAAAGTTGTAAAGTGCTGCACCACTGTGTAATTATATAAAAGCCCTGAAGATGGCGATGATGGTGATGATGATGATGATGATGACGACAGCAGTTACAGGTATAAAATGTATCAATTGTAATATTTACGGAGTGGTACAAAAGTCATGCACCATAAGGAAAATTAATGTAAGTTCTCAATTGCTGGAGATCAACTTGGAAACATTCTTCGATTCAATGTGTTCAGTATGTCTGAATGCTTCTTAACATCCTGATGCTGTTCTTGGCACACTCAGGTCTTATTTTATTCAATTGCTCTATATTTGCAGGACATCAATATAGATCAATAACTTTATACTGCTTCTGGAAGAAGTCAACAGGCATGAGGCAAGATGTCTGGGCACTCATGTGCCCATCTGATGGGCTCTCATCATCCAATCCACTTATTTGGGAACAACTTATTTAAACAGCCCTGAATGATGATTGCAAAATGTGGTGGTGCACTGTCCTGCTGCTATAACATGTTTAATACAAGATATATTCGGAAAGTAAAGATACAAGTCATAAAAATGTAAGGGAATTCTTCTTCTTCTTTTCAGAAATGGCAGAGATAGGAACCGTGTGACAGTGCAGAGTTCACTGGCCAGTCACAGCAACGTTGTGCTCGCAGGGTGTGTAAAACGGCCGTGTCGATTCAAAATCCCGCCAAATGTGAGGTTCATGCAGTAATTCGATTTCTTCACGCAAACGGAGAAACTGCTGAAATTCATTGCCAACATCTTTCTGTTTACGGCGAAGATGTTATGAAGAGGCAACATGTGGCAAAATGGCGTTGTGAATTTGAAGCGGGAAGAAGTGATATTCATGATGAAATAAGGAGTGGAAGGCCACCCATTGTCACTGATAAAATCACCCAAAAAACAGATGAAAACATTTGTGCTGACAGACCTTTAACCATCAATGAACTTTTTTGGACGATGAGGAGGTTCAATACATGGCTAAGAGAGCAGTTAAGAGATTTCTATGCCGCTGGAATAACAAAACTCATTCCCACGCTCACTAAGCACATTGCAATCCATGGTGACTTTGAAAAGTAAATAAAGATGTGTTGTAAAAGAGCTACAAGTGAATAATAAAAAAAGGAGCTTGATAAATATTTTCTGGACTTTCTATCTTTACTTTCGAAATATCCTTTGTAGCTGCGCAAAATGGGCACCAGAAATGCCTGCAATATTTTTTAGCTATATTTCACCTACCACACTGTTGTCAAAGTAAACATAAATTAACTAATCTCCCACAGCTCCACAGATACTAAAACTCAAAACATTTTGCACTTGAATTTTTTCCATCCACTGTGTGCTTTAGCTGACTCAATACCATGAATTATGCCCATTCACATTAATGCTGGGGGTAGACTATAACCTCATCGGTGAACACTATCCAGTGAAGAATGTTGCTATTCTGTAAAAACGACTGACAGAACTCCACTTTATGATCCATTTTATCATTGTGCAATTCTTCAATAGGCGAGACTTTGTGTAAATGAAAACTATGTCTTCATACAATCAGCTGGATAGATCTCCTGCAGATATTTGGGACAGCTAAAAGTTAGTTCATAGCTGATACAATATCATTTCCACTCCTGTTTCACTGACTGTTCTTCTGGCCAGTCATGGCCATTCTGTGTTTCTTTGAACCTATTAATTAGTCTTCCAACCATTGCCACATCAGTTCGAGGCCTCTCTGGACACTGTTTATTAAATTCAGTAACATATGAGTGACTAAAACACAGTCATTTAATGTTACTACTAAACAGCACAAACTCTGCAACTCTGAAGATGCTGAAGAGTGAAATCTCTTATGGTGCGTGACATTTGTACCACTCCACACATGTTTGTCCTTTGACCTATACCTCAACTCCCCATAGGTCTTTACTGCATGGTACTTACTTACGCATAGGGCCAACTTTAATTTTAGGTTTGCTTTATGAATTATGTTTGTAATCACAGTATTAAAAAGATTTTCTGCCAAAAACATAGTATATATCTAGAAAGCAGTTTATTTCCTTTAAGGCTGTGTCCTGATGGAGACAGAATATTTCTCTCATACTCTGGTACATACATATCATCAAAAGACAGTAATCTTCACAGCTCCTGCCATGAGAACCTTAAATTTCACAAAGTGTAAATAGTTAATGTGAAGATAATATTTAAATGAAAATGCAATGTTACAGTCTATACTCTCCACCCAGATTTACAGTGAATACGTACTGTTATTTCAGAGTGGGAAAATTCTAAACATTTAAACTGATGTGACAAAGCACAGACAAGCTGATGTCAGTGTTATCAATTCTTCAGGAAAATAAAATCTTATGGGTTCCTCTTAAAACTTGAATGCTAAATCATGTTAAAATTCTATTCAATAAATGTCAGATAATAAATTCCAAACACATCCCAACATCAGTTTTTGATGACAAGTAAGTGTTCCAGTCCCTTCAGAAGACACAAATTCTTAATAAAGTGATACAGTAATGTTAATCAGGAGAATTAGAACCAGTTGTCTCACAGTGTTTGACAGATGAAGTAAACAGCTTGAAGAGGGATAGCAGGTTGGATACAATGGAAGAACATATTTCTTACAACAAAAATTGCTCAAAAGCTTTTCAACTTAAAAATTATTTACGAAGGAACTAACAAATAAGAAAAATTCTATCTACTTATTTTCAGTAAATACACATCAGTTCCATTTATACTTCCCACATTTAAAATAAATATTATAAAATATCCGTGCAACATGGGGAAGCATGCCACTTGTCAGTACAGCTTGCACTCTTTTAGTTAACAAGTGTGCTTGTATCATCAGTTTTGGTAGCATTTTATTCCAGGTGACTATGCATGTCAAATTTTCCATGTATTATCCATGTTGTTACACACAGAAACAATAGAAAAAGTTTCCTTTATGCTTTGATTGTTACTGAAGAATTCTGTATGTACTGGCAATTAACGTTTGACAAGGAGGATACTTAATTCACAAGTGGTAGCTAAGCAAGGTATTTACTCCATTTCTTAAACACCATGGGGCAAATAGCAGGATGTACAATACAACATCTCTCCTACTTTAATATCAATCTCATCTTCACATGGTGCATCCTGTTCCATTAATAAAACTCTAGAAACTGATTCATGACAGAACCATTGTATCCAGTGTGGTGGAAAAACCAATATCTAATTTTAGAAGACTGAAACATGGCCATAATACATCTCATGTTCAGGAAATGCTGGGAAATTCTTGAGTAGCTGCAGAATTGGCAGCTTCTCCAGAAGGGCTCAGCTCCATGAGTAAAAATTTCGCTTAGTAGGGGGGTGGAGTCCAACTGGGTCCACTCAGCACGGCGCCCACTGTTTGGCCTACTGCAGCCTGCCCCGGGTGATTATGATGGAGAATTTGGTGGAATGAAGATTGGCAGGGGAAACCGAAGTACTTGGATAAAACCCACCCCAACACCACTTTGTGCACCACAAATCCAACTTGACCAGACCCGGGATCAAACCCGGGCCGCCACAGTGGGAAGCCAGCGACTAACCGCTTGAGCTATGGCGAGTAAGTAATTAAGTTCAGGACATGTCATTACTCAATTCCAGCAGATCAAGTCTTGGCAGCAACTGGTGTGAAGGAAATGACACACCTCACTTAAAAGGATGAGGCATACTGGTATAAGCAGCATTCTTTTTTTCAGCCAATATGAAAACCACTACATAACTTGCATAAGCTGTCAAAAATCATACATCTGCTAGGGCATAATATGTTATGGGGGGGTGGAAGAACCATTAACTCTGATGGGGGNTTAAGCTATCCCTGTAAAAGGCCATGGAGGCCCATAGGGTTGTTAGACATTGAGGCTCCCACATTATAGACAAATCGGTTCACAGATGGCGGTGAGGCTGTCAGCCTCACATTCTGGCCATTCTTTACCCCCAGGAAGATTCCTGGTACTCACTTCTGTTAGCAGCTAAGTTGAGCCCAGGGCCACAGTGCAGCTGGAAGAATTAGCTCAACTGAAAAATCTAATGGCCTCATTGAGAATCAAGCCTGTGACCTTCTGGCTTGTAGCATAGTGCCTCAAACAACTATGATGAAATAATTCCATGGACATTCTGACTAAGTTTAGTACTTAATGTTGCGGTTCTATTTGTTTAATATATTGGTAGAAGTATATAAGTTGTTCAGCTTAGTCAACTTTAAAACTATTACCAAATAAAATTTATTCAATCAATACTACAAGTCAACAGTCTATAAACATAAACAGAAGACTGCGTATGATTCCTGAATTCTTTTAAAAACTTATCTAGACTGAGATCAATAGCAACAACTTCTCCAACCTAACGTTGTCACAAAAAGTGATATATTACTGAGGTGCAACAACCCTATATCTAATAAATATATATATCTCAGGATACTCACCACTGGAACGCATTGAAGTGAAAGTAGACGAGCCCTTGACCATACAAGAAGTTGGCATCCTTCCAGTAGTCTGACTTAAGGCCAAAGAACTTCTGGTACGCGGACATTGCTGTAAAAATGCAAATAATTTGCAATTCCATCAGTTCACTTCAGCTCTGTCCAGCCCTTCACTGAAAAAAATGTATCTATTTTAATTTCAACATGAGAGATGAAATTATGTCAACAGAAATGGTTTGTAAAGAATGATAGATCTGGTTAGTCCTAGATTTGTGATGTAAGGATTTTAAAGTTCTATTATCCATCAAACTAAACTGGCAATGAATGTAATACAATTTCACGCTTTCTCTGTGGCCTGGCAATTTGTGCCAAAAGTTTCATAATATTACTTAATGTGCTTTAAAATACAGATATTTTTGTGAGTTTCTCTTTTATATTACTTTAACTTAAAGAAGAGTATATAACAGTTCATATTAAAGAGTTCTTCAGTATCTATATGTTGTTCATGCTTCCTACACAGCATTAATGAAATAAAAGACAAGTGTTACAATAATCCTATACTGAATGCGAAAATTTAAACAAACTTTGGAAGACACTCAAACCTAGAGTTACATCTAAGTGTCTGTATACGTTCACTATCTAACTACCTGCTTTGATGTACTTCATGTATATGTACAAGATACTGAACAGCAGTTCAACACTCAGTATTTAGGACTCAATATCTACAGTTACAGGTCTCTCTGCAACCCTGAATTTGTATCAAACAAGTCCTGCCAACGGGTTCATGATTCCAAATTCATGTCACATATTCATATTTCTAATTTAGGTGGGTCATGGTTACCATTAGAAGTGCAGCAACATGAAGTGCTATTACCCACCTTTTGCATAGTCTTCAAGCAAAAGGTGGAAGTGGCCAAGTTTGCAGTAGGTCTTAGGATCAATGCTGATTTCCTTGCCTGTAGCCACTGCAGGTTGACCACCCCCACATCCCTCTGATGCCATGCGTTTATTTCGCTCCTTCTGGTTCTGAGCCTGGACCAGCATTTGCTCAAGATATTTTACTGCCTGCATGTAAAATACATGTTATCATTCACTAAACATGAAAAAAAAAAACATTACATGAAAAAGCATCACTTACCAAATCCAGGGCCCAAAGCCACAACTCTGATTAACTTGCTGTCTTACTAACTTAATGAATTCACCAACCAACCAATCAAAACTATTTGAGCTAATAAAATCTCAGCACTGCTAATATCATATCCCATCATCTGACATGGTTCTCAACATATTAAATCTTTTTTACTTCTTCACATAGTATTTCCATTGTAACATTACCCTCCATCTCCTACTCAGTGACTAAGCAGTTTGGCAGAGTAGTGTGGGAACTGCCCACATTCAAGCAATGACGCTTGCATTGTCATACTTGCTTGAATGTGGGCAGTTCCCACATCAGTAACACTCTACATTCATATTTGGGAAGTGTTCGTTTCCAATTCAGCTGGGACATCAACTATCCTGAGTTTTTCTGTGGTTGCCTTCACCCTCTCTAGGAAATGCAGGAATAGTTCCTTGACTTGGTCATGACTGCTTCTTTCCAAAATCCTTTCCAATCTGTCATCCTACCATTGAAAGCTATATAGTCTAGCTACTAAGAGCATCATTAAATAATCACATATAAACAAACCCTACTTGGTTTTTCATGGGCTGTGTTCCAAGAAGTGTAGCAGTAATGCTGCATATCTGTATCTGTAACCTAAAAATCAGTCAATACCATTAATACCAAAGCTTATCACTAGCCACAGTCCTCAAACAGTTCAGTTCACCTGGACATAACCCTGAGCCACTTCCACCCACTTCACCCCTTGCAGAACCTACTTCCTGGTTATCCACTATATTCATATCACCCACCTCCTCCCCAGTTCTACCAGTGGCTGCTTACAACTGGATTTCCTTCAAAAATTCAGTCTGCATTTCTGTTAACCTTATTCAAGTTGCATGTTCAATCCATCATGCCAACTTAACTTCACTACTAACAATGCCTGTTGATCTGTACAAATCCTCCCAGCCCCACTTAATATATCAGTGTCAAGCTGAAATATTTTCTTGAATACTCTGTTTTCAGACACTTAGAAATCTGGATTATTTTTTCACAACAATAGAAAACGTTTAAAAATTATAAAAAGTCACTGGTCAGCAGTCTCTATGTAGCAGCTGCACAAACTGCATAAAATGAACATACGGACAGACTGTGTCTGTCCACTAATATATTATATTTCTAGTAGTCTTTAACAGATGTCTATAACAATTAACATAAGCTGTCAGGCACTTAATTTAGGTCCATATCTGTCAATAACAATCCATACAATCCACACTTCACACGAAGTTCTCATAAACAGCTCACAGCAGAGAGCAAAATACAGCATACAGCTCTCATTAATATCTACAACTTTCATTTTAAACATTTTTGACTGAGTGAATAATTAAAAAGGTGGGGAGAAATAACTGCACAACAGATGTGTATCTACAGTCAAGGCTAATACAATGTGCATAAATGTAAAGAATGTCTTTGGGGAATACAAGTCCTCATCCACTGCAGTGCTACTTTCCACTTGTTTGTTTGTATGGTTACTCTTGCCAGAACACATATATTATATGCTGTGTACAGATGGTTTCAAAGACTATCATGATTTGCTGTGTAATTTGACAGTACTTCACCAACTGTTGATGTCCTATGGCAGGATGATAATCAGCAAGGAGTCAGTAACTTATGTTGAAAATTACTATCTTCTGGGATATAACACTGTGTGGTCCATTGTAAGTGAACTGGCGTTTTGGAGGAACATGTGGTATCCATCTTCAATGTCGAAGAATAAGACGAGCAAGAAACTTGCATGCAAGCAGATCCCCATGGCGTTATATCTCATAAGATAGCACTCTTCACAACCACCATTGTGAGAACCTCAACTCCTATGAAGTAAGTTATGTTGTTGCCATGTTTCAGATGTTATCCTAATATCAGGCTGCAAAATTATGAAATCCATGAAAAGCATCAGTCAGAATGATCTCCTGAACTGAACTTAAATGAATAACAACCAAGTAACACAGGTCTACTATCAGAAATGCTGCAAGATTTTAACTCATAAAAGATGTCAAATATATACATTCTCACAGGGAGATATTAGAATCAAATCATGAAGTAAAAGTAATGTAGATAATTTAAAAAGCAAGCAAGCAAACTTTCACAGTAGAAGAAAAGCCACCAGAATGATAAATAATAACATTATAACCAGTCCTAAGCTTATAGCAAACTCATTCAATACTTATAACTGTGTGAAGAAAGAACAATGAAACTAAAAACCTGCCAGGGGAAGAGGTACATGTTTGTACATGCAGTACATGAAGTTCATGTTTGAAACAAATCCTAGAATGTTGCCAAATATAAAACATTTGCTGACAAAAGAAAAACAATAACAAAATATAATTAATTACTTTACTAGTTACCTCCATACTCAATTAACTCTGAAAGAAACTTCCCACAATGACTTCAATTATTTCAACATTAAACCTTTTACCTCTCTGCAGTTACTTCAACTGAAAATTTGTAAGCATTCTCACTTTTTTAAATGATACATTTTTTTACATAATTACTTTATGCCATACAGCATAATCTCCTTATAAAATATGGTGGCTGTACATAACTGTACTAATCACCTACGTACTTAGATTTATAACTGCATTAAGGGGACACAAACAACAGAATAAAAATTAAAGATGAAACTGTTAATAGGTGCACCAATTTATTTATTTGGAAAGTGGAATAAATATGGAATGGAAAATCTGTGGAAAGATCAAGAGAAGAAAATAATTCCAAATCTGACCAAGTTAAAAATGAATAACAGGGAACAAATAAATTCTAAAACAATGGTTTCTCCACATAAAAAGAAGAGATACAATGAGGATACCAAGGACATTACTAAAAAAGTGTATAAGAAAGAGACTTCCACAGACATACAGGAAAACATGAAGAACTGTAAAGTCCTAACAAAAAATAAAAAGGAAATATTCTGGGAAGAAATAACAAATTGGAGACTGTATAAAATGGAAATGGTGATGGTGATGGTGGTGGTAGTAGTAGTAGTAGTAGCAGCAGCAGCAGTAGTGATGGTGCTGGTGGTGGTAGTACTAGTAGTAGTGATGGTGGTTGTGGTGGTAGTAGTAGTGGGATTTTAACAAGGTTTAAGTTATCTACCTGTAAGTAATCTAAGACAAACTTAAAAATACTGACCTTAAGAACCAGCTGTTTCTTCTTGGCCTGTTCTGCTGTGTTTAGTTTTAGAAAACCGAACTGCCGACTGAAAAACCAAAGAAATGAAATGCCAGTAATCTATTAATTTCTAACAAGTACTTTAGATGGTCACTGGCTGGATCCATATTTACTAGCTCTCTTACAAAATACTCAATACATACCACACCATTTGCTCGTAAAATCCTATGTGACATACCCCACTGATCAGGCAGGTCTTGGGGAGTGCAACATGTTAAGACTGTCTACAAAATAAAAGTAAACTGCAAGGTATCAAACATGCCAGTGTTGATGAACACCGCATGGGACTCAGTTAAGAGACATGACCAAATGCCACATACATGACATTAGCTGATAAAATATGGAGCATTCACCTACATAAATTCATACATATAAAATAAATGGGTCACTTTTAGTAGGGGGGGTGGAATTAGGTTAGAATAATACAACACTTTAAATATAAGCAGGATGTAATTTGCACCGTCATAAACACTCGTAGGGTTATCCAATAACGTCGTGGGGTGTTAGCGTTATTACTATGGGGGGAGGGGATGTATCATAACTACATTTTGGCCAAATTTTTCATACAGCAGATGATTAGTGGCCATGTTGTTTACCTGTCAAGTTCCGACAGCACCTGCAATTCTTGATTTGTTAAATTTATATCGTCCTGTTCCTGCGCCATTTTAAGGCACTGACTCAATTGTCTATAGTTTTATCATTGGCACTTCACTATTTACACTACTTCAAAATTCACTTTCACTCAAAATAACAAACACTTTCACTAATAACCATCAATAACCACAAACTATTTGAGAAGAATATACACGCGCCTATATTACCAGACAAAAGTTTCATGGGGCACTCGGAAGTTAGATTTTAAACACCTTCTCGATGTTTTACTAATTTTTGAAAACACATATTGTCTATGCTCGCAACGCCACCAGTTGAAAAAATAAGTTAAATAACACACACATGGGAATGTACAGTGGAGAAAATCATTCTATTTACATTTAAATCTTATAATAATTAAGACCCGAAGGTCAGTCGGCTTTGGTATCGAAGTCCCATAGGTCTCGATTGACCCCCATCTCAGTTCAAGACTGAAGTATGAAGATCCAAAGTCGAAGTATATCATACCAGCAGACATATTTGTAAAACAATCAGCTGTTATATGGGCGGTTTCTGGATGAAGAATATACGGAACTTACAAAAGTTTGCTTGTTCGTGTTACCGCTAGAGAATGTGACATATAGTTTCCTTGGAACATATCTGGATGATGCTTTCGTGAATATCTGTTTGGTACTGGACTGTAGAGGCTGGTTTAGTACTTGCGAGTATGTACCACATATTTGTTATGTATCACTTTACAACTTCTATGGTTGATACCGACCGCAGTATCTCTTAGTAAGTACTTGTCTGCCGTATGTCGCCGACATCAGTAAGAGATAATGACTTACTCAGCGTCTGTATGAAACTTATAAGCATGTCTCTGCAGTTTACTCAGAAACTAATGACGTGCTATTGTAGGTGAAGCTTCGTTCTAGCTATATATATATATATATATATATATATATATACTTATTTGAAGCATTAGTCTATTTATTCATTCATTCATTTATTATATATTCCATAAATCCATATACATAGATATAGAACCAGTCACATAGTTAATATAGTACAATGCAATTATAGATATATATGTACAGCTTATAATCATTATAATAGATAAAAAACATGTGTTAAATTTACAGTCTTACATCACTATACATAAAATTATGTAATATTAAAATTGTTTATGTTATTATCCTTATTTCTAAGCAAATTTGTTACTAAAGAATTCATCACATGTATAAAAAGAGTTTTGCAATAAAAATGTTGTCAACTGAATTTTAAAATTTTTCA